ATCGTTTAGATGTAACGATGAGGCACAACAATGATACAAATACAGGATGCACAACAACCCTGCAAAGAGTTAACTCCTGAAGAGCGTTCTGTGTTTTATTTCTGTCTGCGGTCTTCAGCTTGCTGATAAGATTCACAGCAACGCCCAACATGAAGGTCGCCAACGTGAAAGCAGCCGAGCTGTGGGGGACATCAGCGTCTGGACATCATCTCCACCGTCCATGCCAAACAAAAGACACAGGAGGACGGGGAGGATGGACAGATGTTTCAGCTGTGCAGATGGAAGCTCCACATCTGTGTATGTTAACATTTTGTGCTTGTGTGTGTTATCTATTCTGTCTGAGTGTTGAGTGGATGTCCTCTGATGCATTTGCAGTTTTAGTCCTTTTTATAACTTTGTCCTTTCTTCTGTGGAGGACGCTGACGTTGCTGTGGTCAGCTCTTCAGTAGCCAGTCGAAGCTGGAGCCACTTCTGAAGCCGAAGTAAACGCAGCGACCACAGGAGAAGCCGCAGATTGCCACTTCCTGATCCCCTCTCCTCGTTATGCTGTCTGTCCTCTGCACTTGTGTCGGTCTGAAACCTTTTTAGATCTATATTTGCTCTGCAGAGCTCATGATTGTGCAAACTCTCTGTGCTCTGTTGCAACATCTCCTTGTGCTTCTGAAATAGAAAAGAGGAAGAAAAAAACTTGCAGAATTTTTCATTTTCAAAGCAGTGCTTCGTTTTTGTCCAGACTGACAACTCTCTTGTGTTTCTGTGATAAAAACAAACTTCATCTTGTTGAGAATCTTTCAGTCTGTTTTCTTGTTTTTTCTTTTTCTTTGCACGAATGATTTCAGGCCTGATCGCATATAAAATGTGAAAGGAAGTAACTCCAAAAGGAGCGGGGCTGGTCCGACTAACAGAGCCAAGTCAGAGAGGAGAGTTCCTCAAAACAAAAACGAGGCATCATCATTTCTCAGCTTCACTCTCTGATTACAGACGAAACCCAGAGAAGCTCAACAGAAACCCGAACATGTCAGTTTATGGTGAAATGAGTCTGTGGAGCTTCGTGTTCCTGCTGGCAGGTAAAACTGAAAAGATGTTTTTATTCTTGTTAATGACGGATCTGTGAAGTTGTGCTTTCACTCGCTGCTGCTGCTCGGTCTGCAAACTGTTTCCAAATCTACAAACGTGTTAAATCTGAGAAATGATTCGAATCACGTAGAATTAATGACGATGTGAAACAAGCTGATATTATCACACAGGGAGGGTTAACGATCGTTTCAAAGAGCTCGGAGCTGCTGGAGGGGAAACGAAAGGAGAAGGTTTCTAAATGAAACTCGAGTATTTTATAACAGACGGATTATTTCTGTCTGTTAGTGACATTTTAAACCCACGTTTACTTTAAGAGTACTTTTACTGCAGTGATATAAAACTCGTCTTTTCTCATTACTTCTCTTTTCCTTCTTCCCTGTTGTGCTGTCGGTTGTGTAAATAAAAGCTTGTTGCTGTCGGTGCTCTGAAAGCTGGTGCAGCTGTTACACAGGTGAGCTGCGCCTGTTTAATGCGACGTTGCTGCCCGCTGCTTCACCTGTGTTTCCAGGACGGCTGATAAATCACCGTTGATCAATAGTCATGCATATCAATGAGCATGAAACTGATCTCACAGCCCGTAGTTGGTCAGTGGTGCCAGTGTCAGTCATTATGTGTAAGGGTGGAAACCTGCAGTCAGCTGAGACTGAAGAAGTCACTTGGATGATGATGATGATGAAACGTTTCTCCCACTGAAAACATCCAGATGAACAGAATCCATGTTTTGGATTTCCTTACCTGGATGCTTGAGCATCAGGACTTTGCAGGATTTATTTGGAACAGCAGGGAGCACGGTCATAAAGAAACACAGAAATTACTGAGTAGGATTTTCAGCTGATGTGATACATGAAGAGTTTAAATACAGATGTGCACTGAAGTTTAATTAAACTGGGCATGAATCCTGGGCTGTTAATGGTTCCTTTGACGCGTCTCCAGGCTGAAGGATTTTGCAGCAAACATGTTTAATAACTTTCAAAAACACAAACTGTGTACAGAAGTCAACCACAGGAGTGACCGCCATGTTGAAAGCTGATAACCAGCCCCACAGCTAACTCGGCAGGTCGGGACCATCTCGGTTAAATAAACTTCTGCTTTCCTCCGCGTCGGGCGAGCTGCCGTGGCTCAGTCCTGAGCTGCTTTAGCAGACTTCCTGTTTTTCTTACTTGCATCACTTCTTCTGCTGAATATACAGTAATATTACAGAGTAAGGGCACAGTTTTACTAGTACTGCTGTCTTAAAATAACCTTTTTAATGATGTATAACCAGTGCTCATGCAACACTACTGATGAATTTGACATTTTCCTGAAAGACTTTTCTGAATTAGCATATGAGTATTAAATAAAACATGTTTCTGCACTAACGTGGTGTTAATGCAATTCAATACACACAGGTCTGAATGAACTCGTATTAAGAATTAAACAAACTGGACTCATGCTGCTTGTTTCCAGCTCAAAATGTTATCTTTAGACTCTTCATTTATCTCATGTTGCCCTTTGCTGCAGCCACTCTGCTCATCCATGAAACAAGCTGGTTTAGCTTCTCCTCAAAGTCTCCTCAGTCTGTCTTCTGGATGCACTGACAGACTGAAAAATCCTTCAGCATGGTGTACTGAGGTTAGCAGCAGCAGCAGCATTACAGGCAGAGAGACAGAGGAGACAAGAAAGATGAAGGAAGCCTTAAAAAGTCCAGACAGACACTTTAAAATGTGATTTAAGGAGTAAAAGTTTTTTTTTTTAAAAAAACAAACAAAAGAATTTAAAATATTTGCTGTGTTAAACTATCGCCATCTTTGCTGTTGCAGGACGCTCTCACTGATTATATCTGAGGGTACTTTGAATGTCGTATTTGTCTCTGATGATGAGGGTGCAGCGTGGGCGGAGGCTCAGCCGGTTGGACGGCTGTTTGTTGGTTCAGGTTTGGTTTGCTTCAGGGAAACATTGTGGTGTGGTTTAACCAGTGTTGGGGAGTAACGGAATACATGTACCGCCGTTACGTATTTAAAATACAAAATATGAGTAACTGTATT